GAGAGGCGGGCAGGACGGGACGGAAGGAGGCCACCTGCGAACCCTGCCCCTACTCCAAATCCCTGATTAATCGACCCCCCCCTGAAAAACAGGACCCCCTTCCAAATGCGACCTAATATTCCGGACCCCCTTCTTCGACGGGGCGCCTCAATAACGGGACCCCTAAGCTCCAATCCAAAGAAAGCGCCCTCATAAACTGGACCCCCCAAAATACAAAAAAGGCGCCTTAAAAACCCGGACCCTGGGGACGATTAACACGGGATTTGGAGTGCCCCCCACGATTTCTGAGGGGGAGGGTGGGGCTCACTTTGTTCGGAACCAACGGAGTGAACCCCACCCTCTCCCCTCAGAAATCGTGGGCGGTCGGGGTCGGGTTCGCATGTGGCCCCCCAGGGACGGGAGGGGGGCGGCACCAGTTGGAATCGGAGCGTGCGTCGGATCGGATCGTGGTGGGAATCGGCTCGGACTGGCCGCGCCAGGATGAGCAGCAGCTGCATGCGAGCGTCGGCCCGCGTCGGATCCGCGGAGTGTCGGAATCGATTCGGATCGGGCTGGCCAGAACAGACATCGACTTGAACTGATCGGGCCGAGATGGGGCCTGGGAGGGGAGCAGGGGGAGTTCGAGGTTGAGGCTCGAGATTTTGGGCTCGGGGATGTGTCTTGTCCCTGTGGGCCTTCTGGGGTGCCCTCGTGGCCACGGCTCGATCTCCCTGGAGAGGCTGAGACAGACAGACCCCAGGATGGACAGAGGGACCCGAGGGGTTGACGTCTCCCTCCTGAGAGAATCGAAGATGGTTCCTGTAGCTTCCAGGGCTCCAGGATCCAGGACCATCTTCGCAGCATCGAGGGTCCACGATCCAAGATGGACAGAGGGATGGACAGAGGGTCAGAGGGGTTGACTTCTCCCTCCTGAGAGAATCGGAGGTAGCTCCCGTAGCCTCCAGGGCTCCGGGAGCCAGGACCATCTTGACAGCAGCGAGGGTCAGAGGGGTTGACTTCTCCCTCCCGAGAGAATCGAAGGTAGCTCCCGTAGCCTCCAGGGCTACATGATCCAGGACCACCTTCGCAGCAGCGAGGGCCCGCGATCCAAGATATGGATCGGCGAGGGAGGCGGGGCAGACGGGGGGGAGATTTCCAGAACCAAGCCGTTCCCCCTTCATGAAGGGGCCCTGGGACACACAAACAAATACACATAAAAGGATTCCCCATATTTTCCCATATTTTCTGGGTTTTCGTCTTCCCCCCCACTTCCCACAGTTTCACATATTTTCCTGGGCATCGACGATTAATTGTGTCTGTGTGTGTTTTTCCCTCCTGATTTCAGTTTTGTCATGGGGGCCCCAGAGCTAGAGCATCTCAAAGTATCTAGGAGGATCTTGACACGCCTACAGGCCTGCAAAGACCATCGGGGAGGCTCCAGGATAGGAGGTGGACCAGTGTAAACCCCTGGCTCATCAACGGTGTTGCAATGCTCCTTCTCTCCACAAGTTCCCTCTTCACGAGCTCACGCAAGGATTCACATACACTGCGGGAAGCGCCCCGTTTGAAGACAACCACTTGAAAACCTTGAACCATACCAGAGTACCAGTCCTGGAACTTCAACGCCGCGAGTCAACGTCACGGTTGCGACCAGATAGTCCCCAATCGTACCAGATCGCTGTTTCTGGGACGTCAACGCCGCCAATAAACTTCACTGTTGCGACCTGGCAATCCTACATCGTGTCAGAAACCGTCTTCTCGGGCGTCAACCATTCGAATCCTTGAAACTCTTGCGAACGTTTAAACCAAATGCGTGCGGCGCTGAAGCGAGAACGACACGTTGAAAGAGAGCCGTCATCCATCCGCGAAACCCTAGCAAGATGTTAAAAACCAATGCGCGCGGCACCAAGGCGAGAACCACATTTTGAAAAGGGACCGCCCTTCATCGGTGAAACTCTTGCAAGCTTGTAAAAATAATGTGCGCGGCGCTAAGGCGAAATCCGCATTTCGAAAACAATTGCTTAAACGAATGTGCGCGGCGCTGAGGCGAGAACCACATTTTGAAAACAGCCCGCCCTCCATCCGTGAAACCCTTACAACCTTGAAGACGAATGTGCGCGGAGCCCAGGCGGGAACCACATGTTGAAAACGACCCGCCCTACATCGTGAAGTTCTTGCAAACTGTTGCGACGAATGTTCGCGGCGCTAAAGCGAGAGCCGCATTCTGAAAACGGCTCGTCCTCCATTCGCGAAGCTCTCGCAAACTTTGAAACCAATGTGCACGGCGCCAATGCGTCAACCACGTCTTGAAGACGACCCGCACGTCACCAGCTAAACTCTGGCAACCTTTGAACCGAATGGGCGCGGCGCCAGGGCGGCAACCACATCTTGAAAAGGACCCGCATTCCATCCGGGAAACCCTTGCAACTATTCGAGACTCGCAACGAGTCTGCGGGGCGCTAAGGCGAGAACCACAATCGGAAGACGGCCCGCCCTCCATCCGTGCAGCTCTTGCACAAAC